AGGGCAGCGAGCACGGCAAAAAGAGTTTGTGTTTCCCGGGAGCCGAGTACAGCTGGGAGGAGAACGTGTTTCTGACACCCAAAGACAGGGGTAAAGGCCAGGGACAGTGTGTTTCTGAGCCCAGAGGTCAGCGAGCAGGGTAAAAAAGAGCTTATGTTTCCCGGGACACGAGTACATCTGGGAGGAGAACGTGTTTCTGACACCCAAAGACAGCGGCGATAGCGAAGGACAGTGTGTTTCTGAGCCCAGAGGGCAGCGAGCACGGCAAAAAAGAGTTTGTGTTTCCCGGGAGCCGAGTACAGCTGGGAGGAGAACGTGTTTCTGACACCCAAAGACAGGGGAAAGGCCAGGGACAGTGTGTTTCTGAGCCCAGAGGTCAGCGAGCAGGGTAAAAAAGAGCTTATGTTTCCCGGGACACGAGTACATCTGGGAGGAGAACGTGTTTCTGACACCCAAAGACAGGGGGAAAGGCCAGGGACAGTGTGTTTCTGAGCCCAGAGGTCAGCGAGCAGGGTAAAAAAAGGGCTTATGTTTCCCGGGACACGAGTACATCTGGGAGGAGAACGTGTTTCTGACACCCAAAGACAGCGGCGATTGTGAAGGACAGTGTGTTTCTGAGCCCAGAGGTCAGCGAGCACGGCAAAAAAGAGTTTGTGTTTCCCGGGAGCCGAGTACAGCTGCGGAGGAGAACGTGTTTCTGACACCCAAAGACAGGGGGAAAGGCCAAGGACAGTGTGTTTCTGAGCCCAGAGGTCAGCGAGCAGGGTAAAAAAGAGCATATGTTTCCCGGGATACGAGTACATCTGGGAGGAGAACGTGTTTCTGACACCCAAAGACAGCGGCGATAGCGAAGGACAGTGTGTTTCTGAGCCCAGAGGGCAGCGAGCACGGCAAAAAAGAGTTTGTGTTTCCCGGGAGCCGAGTACAGCTGGGAGGAGAACGTGTTTCTGACACCCAAAGACAGGGGTAAAGGCCAGGGACAGTGTGTTTCTGAGCCCAGAGGTCAGCGAGCAGGGTAAAAAAAGAGCTTATGTTTCCCGGGACACGAGTACATCTGGGAGGAGAACGTGTTTCTGACACCCAAAGACAGCGGCGATAGCGAAGGACAGTGTGTTTCTGAGCCCAGAGGGCAGCGAGCACGGCAAAAAAGAGTTTGTGTTTCCCGGGAGCCGAGTACAGCTGGGAGGAGAACGTGTTTCTGACACCCAAAGACAGGGGAAAGGCCAGGGACAGTGTGTTTCTGAGCCCAGAGGTCAGCGAGCAGGGTAAAAAAAGAGCTTATGTTTCCCGGGACACGAGTACATCTGGGAGGAGAACGTGTTTCTGACACCCAAAGACAGGGGGAAAGGCCAGGGACAGTGTGTTTCTGAGCCCAGAGGTCAGCGAGCAGGGTAAAAAAGGGCTTATGTTTCCCGGGACACGAGTACATCTGGGAGGAGAACGTGTTTCTGACACCCAAAGACAGCGGCGATTGTGAAGGACAGTGTGTTTCTGAGCCCAGAGGTCAGCGAGCAGGGTAAAAAAGAGCATATGTTTCCCGGGATACGAGTACATCTGGGAGGAGAACGTGTTTCTGACACCCAAAGACAGCGGCGATAGCGAAGGACAGTGTGTTTCTGAGACCAGAGGGCAGCGAGCACGGCAAAAAAGAGTTTGTGTTTCCTGGCATCCGAGTACAGCTGGGAGGGGAACGTGTTTCTGACACCCAAAGACAGGGGGAAAGGCCAGGGACAGTGTGTTTCTGAGCCCAGAGGTCAGCGAGCAGGGCAAAAAAGAACTTGTGTTTCCCGGGAGCCAAGTACAGCTGGGAGGAGAACGTGTTTCTGACACCAGAAGACAGGGGGAAAGGTCAAGGACAGTGTGTTTCTGAGACCAGTGGGCAGCGAGCAGGGCAAAAAAGAGCTTGTGTTTCCCGGGAGCCGAGTACAGCTGGGAGGAGAACGTGTTTCTGACACCAGAAGACAGGGGGAAAGGCTGAGGACAGTGTGTTTCTGAGCCCAGAGGTCAGCGAGCAGGGCAAAAAAGAGCTTGTGTTTCCTGGCATCCGAGTACAGCTGGGAGGAGAACGTGTTTCTGACACCCAAAGACTGTGGGAAAGGCCAGGGACAGTGTGTTTCTGAGACCAGAAAAGGACAGTGAGACCAACAAAGGACAGTGTGTTTCTGAGCCCAGAGGTCAGCGAGCAGGGCAAAAAAGAGCTTGTGTTTCCAGGGACACGAGTACATCTGGGAGGAGAACGTGTTTCTGACACCCAAAGACAGCGGCGATAGCGAAGGACAGTGTGTTTCTGAGCCCAGAGGTCAGCGAGCAGGGCAAAAAACAGCTTGTGTTTCCCGGGAGCCGAGTACAGCTGGTAGGAGAACGTGTTTCTGACACCCAAAGACAGGGGGAAAGGCCAGGGACAGTGTGTTTCTGAGCCCAGAGGTCAGCGAGGTCAGCTGGGAGGAGAACGTGTTTCTGAGACCCGAAGACAGCCGGGGCTGCGTTAGGGTTACATAGGTTGACCCGAGGACGGCGGGAGTGAGTGGAATCCTACGCTCGGGTCGCCGGGACCCGAGGGTAGTGTGAGGGTTAAATACTTGTTCGTATGTCTCCAACGTGACCGGAGGAAAGCGTTTGCTATGGTGGTAACGTGCTTGCAACGAGCAAAGTACATATAATGAGATAAGTATCAAGTAGTAACATGAATTTTTCATGTTTTTTTGGGCAAAATCATGCCGTGAACCGGATTGCTGCGGCCACAACGCAGAGTACTAACCACTATACGATCACGGCAAGTCAGCACCGGGGGGTCGGTAATGCTCCAAGGGAAGGCTTCATTCCACCAATTTTTACAAAGAACTCAAAATACTCCTAAATTCATATATCAACTAGGTTCAGTCACTGACAAGAATTGTTTTAGGTGCTTGCTACATCGGCAGTTACCACAAAATACCAATACCTGAATTGACCCTTGTTGCCTCTGCGTAGTTTAATGTATTTTAAAATGAGACCATATTGTAGGACACTCTACTCCTACAAAATCACACAAAAGTTACCATAGGTCTGCGAGCAGTAGTGTCTGCCTCTGAACGAGATCTGCTACAGCATACATTGCCACGCTGCAGTGTATTCGACAACTTTCAAACTAAGACTGAAGCACTTTCAAACTTAAAATGTAAAAAAATATATATGTTTGAATAATGATATAATGCAGGTACCAGATCTTGATCAATATGAGACGTTGGCATTTGTTAAATGCGCCTTCAAAAATGCGAGTTCCCATACCGGGAGTCGAACCCGGGCCGCCTGGGTAAACCAGGAATCCTAACCGCTAGACCATATGGGACCAACAATGATCGACGTCCAGAGATACCGGCAACACGCTGTCAAAATAAACGAAATGTACTCGTCATGGAAATCTTTATCGTCTGCAATTTTGCGAGTACATCTCTTCCGTGAAAAGCATAAGAAGTTGAACGAGTTCCGTTGTCGGTCAGTGAGTTTTACGCAAGGATGTTTGTAGATGGCAAACCATTTAAAATAGGCACAGCATGCCACGTTCGACCAGCATGCATGAGGTGAGCTAAAGTATTCCACGAGCCAGCCAGGAGTCGAAACTAGAATCTTCTGATCCGTAGTCAGACGCGTTATCCATTGCGCCACTGGCCCGTCTGATAGCTGCCTCCAGCACGGTGAATTCGATCATGAATGCGCAATGGTCTGCTTCAGATATTTTCGATTAAATACTTGTTCGTATGTCTCCAACGTGACCGGAGGAAAGCGTTTGCTAT